ATCAGACATAGTACTAGTTCCCATTCCTCAGAAGTGCTGCCTCCTAACAAAGGACTAGGACCAACAGGTACCTGGAACAGAGCACACCAGAATCCTAGACTGTTCCCACCCAAAGCCCCAAAATCCTGATCACTGTTTCCCCAACAAAAGCCTGCTTGTACCACGACACAGCCTTTCAGCAATTACCCCCAATTATAAACCCACAGCCCAGCAAGTCTTCAATTAGTCTAAAAGGGGGCCTGAAGAGGGGCCAGCTGCACAGAGCATAGAGCCCACAAATGGCCTCCACCCAAGGGGTAGCACAATCCTTCCGGTGAAGCCCAGGGCCTTGAATACTTGGTAACAATGTCCTCAGGACAATAACCATGGCTGTTGGCTCTCCTTTTCAGAGTGACCATTCTCTGCAGGGCCCAGTCAAGTACTCCGTCCCCAAGTACAGCTCTCTAGACTCCACGCTCTCTCCCTGCACAGATCACACACTTCCTTGCCACTTACCACTTTCCCAGGCGAGGTGTGACATCTTCAGGCTAGCATCCATCAACCCCCAATAAACATCGCTGGACGAACCTACAGGTAGAAGGATGCCCCAGGCTGCTGCTTCTAAAGAACCACGGTTATGGGCTTGGCTCAATGTGTTAGGAAGAGAATCAAATGCCCATCTCTTCCCAGGGAAGGGTAGCTTCTGAATTCTTCTCAGAATCATCCAGAAACAGACTTGTCCCTTGCTGAGCCCGGGGTGTGGCAACCTTGAAGTTTTCATGAATTGGCCTGTCTTCTTCACAATGAGTGTGCTTGGTGTGAGAAAGACTGTGTGTATATGTATGTGTACACAGATCTCAAGCCTGGCTATGATCATGCATTTGAGGAGGAAATGGGTCTTATAAATAGCAGCTAGATTTGATTGGATGGAAGGAAGGACTTCCTGACCTCGCAGGGACAAATAGAGGCACAAACACAGGGGTGAAACTCGGGGCTCCGAAGTCCCACTGCCACTTAGTGGCTGGGCGCCTTCAGCAAGTTACTTGACTTTGCTGAGCCTGTTTCCTCATCTATCAAATGGGAATAGTACCAACACCTCAGTCTGTCATAAAAATGAAATGAGAGAATACATGTAAATTCCCTGGCTCAATATAAGTGCTTTAAAAAGGATAGCTATTCCATTCCTTTATAATAATGACAATGAGAATAACAGCTGGAGGTGCACAGAGGTCTTTAGGGAATGCCTTCTCAAAGGAAAAGGCCCTGTTACAGCATGTCTGTCTGTCTGTCTGTCTGTCTGTCTGTCTAGCACTGTAGTTTGTTTGTTCTTCCACTTTAGAAAACTGGCAATCTCTACTAAAACTAAACTCTCCTAGTCTCCTAGGTAGTCATTCAAGAGTAATGAAATGCCCTTCACCAAAAAAAGATGTAAAAAATATTGACAGCACTTTTATTTATGATATCCCAAAAGTGGAAACAACACAAATGTCCAGTAGGTGAACAGATAAGCAAATTGTGGACAATTACATGGCAATAGAGAGAAATAAATGCCTGATACATGCAACAAGATGAATGAATATCAAAAAAACATATTATGCAGAAGAAACCAGACTGAAAAGAGTACATGTTTTATGCTCTATTTATATGACGCTCAAAGCAGGCAAAGTTAATCTATGGTGATAGAGATCAGAATACACATTACCTTTGGGAGGAGGTATTGATGAGGAAAGATATGAGGGAAACTTCTGAGGTGACAGAAATGTTAATGTTCTGTAGCTTGATCACAGTCGTGGATACATGTTGCATTATATGTAAAAATACATCAAGCTGTACATTTGAGATGCATATTGTTTACCACATGTAAGTTACACAGCACACACACATACACATACCATTGTGGCAGGATGGAAAATCCCCTTCCGAAAGCCAGTAATAGAAAACACAAATCTCAGCCCTTCTCCCTCGCTTCCTCTGGACCTCATCAAAGCTAGGCATCTAAAACTGCCCTCTTGCCTGGAGGCCCTTTAGATGGTGCCCATCTGCAAAGAGAAATCTGAATAAGGACCGAGAAGAAGGGCTCTCTCAGGCATCCCCTCATGGGCCTGTTTGGGGCTCCAGGCAACAGGCCTTACCTTGCAAGCCAGCTACCACAGACACAGAAGTCTCTCGATTTCTAGTAATGTTTAGTTTGAATGTTTCAGGCAGGTACTCACCATGATCAGGGAACCAGGCATGTGTCCTGTGTCCCTGCCTAAGGTTCAGCAGCATGACTGTACAGCTGTAATGAGCAGACAGCCCCAAATGGTAGAGGACTCTCAGATCCTGAGCTGGCCCTCTGTGGTCCAGCCATTCTTCCCCACCTGCAGTCCTTTTCTTAGACATTTCAGTTTCATTACAAGAAAAATGGCATCTCTCAATTCTCTGTGGAGCACAGCCATTTTCCAATTCCACTGGAATGCATTAAGGCCTCCCTGTTAGGAAGCACTGAGTGGCAAGTGGAGGACAGAGTCTCTGCCCATCAAGGCTTACAGTTCAGATATGGAAAAAGGCAACTTTAAACAACATAGTACGTTCTCAAGCATGTGTTGGGGATTACTGGCAGGGTACTCACTGTTCAGGGCTGAACAAAATGGCTTTGGGCCACGGGAGTCACAGCCATGGGTTATCAGAAGATGCTGGTTAGCAGCTCCTGCCACCGTAGACTTTCTCTGGGAGCATTCCAGAGGTCTTTGGATGGGGGAGATCCTGACATGGCCCAGGAACCAGCCCCCTCTGCCTTTTCTCCTTAAATAGGCTCAACCAGGAGAAAGGCTTACAACTACACTGCAGTCTGCCTTGTACAGGGTAGGGCACACATTCCTTGGGGAAAGAGGTGCTGGTGGACTTGTGGTCCAACATCAGTGAGATACAGAGGAACCCAGGACTCTGATCTGTTGCCTCCCAACCCAGCCAGCCAGCCATGGGGGGTGGGGTGTGCAGATTCAGCAAGATACTTACCAACCAGAAACAGCTCTAGGCTCTCAGCTCTCATCTGTGAGTTCTTCTCCAGAATAAGTAGTGGCTTGTGTGCATGTGCTCTTTCATTCTCATTCTCATTCTTTCATTCATTCTCTCCCCACCCCCACCCCCTGCACTTGCCTACTCTTTATCACTCTCTCTCCCAAGCACTTACTTGGATAAGTGACTCTGCTAATCCTAACCAGGCAGAATAATGCCCGCTGGCCCAGGCCTGGCACTATGTGGATGTGTGCAGGAGCGAGAACCAGAACCATGCAACCTTCTCTGCAGCCTGTCAGTTCGGGCAGCGAGCTCAGCTACAAGACAGAAATGAAGCCTGTGTAAGTGGTCTGTGTGTGTTAAAATACATCAGGGGTATGCTGTGTGCCTGAGCTTCTCTAAAGAACTCTAAACAGCAGCTTTGCCATGGGAACATCCAGGTAGCAGCCCAGTCACCCTAACCACAGGCCAAGGACATCAGAGAATCAGCAGGCTTCTGGGAGTCAGACTGGTAGACATGGAGCCAAGAGATCAGTGTGTCATGAGATGGGTGCGGGAGTGTGTGAAGAGACTTAAGAGTCCCAGCATCAGACATGTTTCCCACAAAAATGTGCAGGATCTGAACTAGTATACGTGACAGGTGAGTGTGAGAGAGTAGTGGGGAAAAGGAGAGCTGGAGGGAATAGGGGGTTGACTGTGAGAGAGGTGGATGGAGGAATGTTACCTGGGTAGAGGGACCCAGAGTCTGTGAGGTGAGGTGGGCTGGGGTAGTGCTGCTAGTTGAGGTGCAGAGTCGCGTGGGGATGTGTTAATCAACAAGGTATTCAAGCTTCCCTTTTCCTGCCGTGGAGCGGCAGAGATCCCTCTC